CTCTCTCTCTCTCACTGTCCCACATTGTTCTTTATCTCCCTTTTTCTTCCTGTTCTGGCCCTAATTCAGATTTCTTCTTTATTTTTCTTTTCTTCTCTTTTTTCTTCTCTTGACTGTCATTAGTTTTAAAGGAAAGTAAATACAGTTTCTAGCCTCCCTATTGCTGTTATGTTGTTCTGTTCTCATCTTTGTTTTTTCATTCTACCTTTTCCTCTTGTCTTCAACAGTTTCTTAGAGTTTGTGTGATCTCACTATGTCCTCTGGCCTCACTGCTAACCTTTCCCTATCCTTCTACCTATCTATCCCTCCCTCCCCAACTCCTTCTAACTCCCCATACTGAAGGGTAAAGTTGCTATATTGAAGAGTTTATTCACTATAAACATATGTTGGGCTGGTCCTCAATTTTGATTTAATTCACAGTTAAAGGTGATAGATTAATAACTACCACAAATTGTCATTTTTAAGCTGTGCTTGATGCTATGGTGTTGATGACTGTATCATTTGGGCTAAGGTGTTGTGATTGATCTAATCAGTTGTCCTTCCTGGTATAATGGAAATGAGATAGCCTCAAAGTCATTAGAGACTCAAAACCTAAAGATCAGCTATATCTAGAAGACACCTCTGAAAACAATCATTCCACAAGGGTTCTAAATACAAGCACCAAAGATACAATAAGCAATTTCGAAGTATCAAACCAGGAATTAAACCAAGGAAAGTACCAAAAAAAATGAGAAGACATTTAAGCAAGGCACAAACTCAGACTTCCACCCCACCAAAGGCAAATTCTGGGGGAAACAAGGTGGGAAACTGATAATCAACCACCTGGACACCCTGAACTGATGGCACAGGAAGTAACAAAACAGATGAATGAGGCTCTAGAAAAATTCAAAACAGAAATAATTTTCCAGATAACTACAGAAATGGTGAGCAGAGTGAAAGATATGATTAGAGGATCTAGAAGAGATAAAAAAAAAAAAATAGATGAGCTCAGAACCATGCTAGAAGCCATGAATGCCCAGCATAAGAAAGAAATGGAAACCATGATCACCCAACATAAAGAAATGGAATCCATGAAACAGATTCAAACAGATATCCAGGAGATTAAAAACTCCATTGAAAGTATTCACAGCAAATTAAGGGAATGTGAAGATAGAATATCAGATATAGAAGACAGGATTGCAGTTGGTGACCATGAAAACAGAGATTGCTTAAAAACAATAAGGGACCATGAGAAAACAATCCTCCAGCTGCTAGATGATGCAAAGAAGAATAACATAAGACTGATAGGAGTCCACAAAAAGGCAGGAGAAAGTACAACAGACATAAAAAAACTGTTCACAGAAGTAATAGTAGAAAACTTCCCAGACAGAGGTAGAGAATTGGACATACAGATAAGTGAGGTATATAGAACTCCAACTAGCCATGATAAAAAAAAACTACACCTAGACATATAATAGTCAAGATCCCAGAAACCCAACAGAACAAAATCCTACAAGCAGTTAGAGAAAAGAAACAAATCACCTACAAAGGAAAGCCCATCAGAATCACAGCAGACTTCTCAACACAAACCCTCAAGTCAAGGAGAGCCTGGAGTGAAGTATTTCAAGCCCTAAAAGAAAATAACTTCCAACTTAGACTGTTGTATCCTGCAAAATTATCTTTCAAAATCGATGGGGAAATTAGATATTTCCATGACAAAGAACACCTGAGAAATTTCATGAACACCAAGCCAGAAGTCCAAGCAATTCTAAACAATATCCTAGAAAAAGACAATGAAGGTCACAACTCCATGAGGCCCAACAGAGGGAAGCCACCAGCCAAGGCAAGAAACTAAAGGGGAAGGGGGAAAAATAAAAGAGCCAACAACAGTAAAACATCATGATGAGGTTGAGTCAATATCTATCAATTATAACCATCAATAGTAATGGCCTCAATTCACCAATTAAAAGAAATAGACTGGCAGAATGGATTAAGAAGCAAAATCCAACAATATGCTGTATACAAGAAACACACCTAACTCAAAAAGAAATTCATAGACTGAAAGTAAAAGGATGGAAAACAGTTCTCCACGCAACAAGAACCTGGAAAAAAGCAGGGGTAGCAATCTTATTTGCAGACAAAGTAGATTTCAAACCAAAACTAATTAAGAGAGACAAAGATGGTCACTACAGGGGCCAGGGATTTAGGTCAGTGGTTTCGCCGCCTGCTGTGCAAACACAAGGGGCCGAGTTCGATCTATGGCCCCAAAAAAAAAAAAAAAAAAGATGGTCACTACATCCTTGTGAAGAGAATAATCCAAGAGGAAGAGATGACAATCCTAAATATATATGCACCAAATACAAATGCCCCCAACTATACAAAAATATTAATGGACATGAAAAACCAAATAAGCACTAATACAACTGTAGTGGGGGACCTCAATACCCCACTATCACAATTAGACAGATCATCTAGACAAAAAATTAACGGAATTCTAGAACTGAACCAAGCTATTAAACAAATGGATTTAATAGATGTTTACAGAGTCTCCCACGCCACAAATCAATATACATTCTTTTTGGCTGCACATGGGTCATTCTCCAAAATAGACCACATGCTAGCTCATAGGACATGTTTAAGTAAATGTAAAAGAACTGAAGTTACCCCTTGTACATTATCTGACCACAGTGCAATAAAATTGGAGATTAATAGCGTAAGAAACCACAAAACCCCCACATACACGTGGAAATTGAATAACACTCTCCTGAACAACTAGTGGGTCACAGAGGAAATTAAAGAAGAAGTTAGACAGTTCCAACAAGTAAATGATAATCCCAATACAATATACAGGAATCTATGGGACACAATGAAAGCAGTTCTATGTGGGAAATTCATAGCAGTGAACACCCATATTAGGAAAACAGAGAGAGCTCAAATAAACAACCTAATGCTGAACCTCAAAAAAAAGAAAAAGAAGAGCATGACAAACTCAAAGCTTGTACAAGAGAAGAAATTATAAAGATCAGAGCATAAATCAATGCAATGGAGACTAAGAGAATGATACAAAAAATCAATGAATCAAAGAAAGAATAAAGAATAAATAAAATTGATAAACCTTTAGCCAACCTTATCAAAAAGAAGTAAAGAAAAGTCTCAAATCCATGCAATTAAGAACAAAAAAGGTGAAGTCACAACAAATCCAGCAGAAATCCAGAGGGTCATCAATACCTACTTCGAGAACCTGTACTCTAATAAAATGGAAAATACAGAAGAAATGGACAGATTCCTAGATAGATACGAATTGCCAAAGTTAAATGAAGAAGTCATAGAAATTCTAAACACCCCAATTACAATGAGTGAAATTGAAAACATAAGTAAAAATTTACCAACAAAGAAAAGCCCAGGTCCTGATGAATTCTACAAGACATTTAAAGAACTATCGCCATTACTCTTTAAACTCATCAGTGAAATTGAAAGGGAAGCAAGGCTTCCAAATTCATTCCTGGAAGCAAGCGTTACTTTGATTCCAAAACCAGGGAAAGACCCAACCAAAAAAGAAAACTACAGGCCAACCTCCCTAATGAACATAGATGCAAAAATCCTCGACAAGATACTGGAAAACAGAATAATAAAAACACAGGGCCAGGGATTTAGCTCAGTGGTTCTGCTGCCTGCCCCACAAGCACAAGGACCTAAGTTCAATCTCTGGTACCAAAAAATAATAATAATAATGAAAACATAGTTTGGCAGTTTACTAAAGCAGAAATCAGCGAACTATACCCTACCATCTGTTTTTGTAAATAAAGTTTTATTAGAACACAGCTCCACTTGTTCATTTACGTATCATATTGTTTGCGAATAGTGCATTATTTGTTTTGTATTGTATCATTTACTAGCTATTTTTGTGATTCACAGCAAAGGTAGGTTGTTGACACAGAGATCGTTTGGCCAGAAAATCCTAAATATTTACTCTGAAACTTTGCAGAAAAATGTGTCCAGCTTTGTCAAGAGGGAATGGGGTCAGTAACTTCTAGGACATCCATCTGTCTTTTATTCTTACACTGTTCTGAGCACTTTGCAAACTAAATATGGTGAGGTCATTTTTAACACTGATAACAACTATCTGAGAAAAATAAATGGGTCCTCTCCTTACAGTTCAGTAGATCGTTCATGTGAGATCCCACAGCACTTGGATCTTATCTCAGGAGGAAACTGACTGGCCTTGAGAGGTTCTGCTTTTAAGGAGTTTGGTCTTGGTAGAGATGATTTATTTTCTCCCATTCTACCCAGAAGCTGCCTGGAAGGCAATCACGGTGATACAGTGCCTTACACCATCTCAGAGGAGTGTGTGTGTGACTCTTTAGTTCAGTGCAAAGATTTATAATAAACTGCATACAGTACTGACTGCCAAGGACACAAGAGGACTAAGACAGGCACCTGCTCTGAAGGAGTCTGCAGCTCAGATAATGGCTACTTACCTTAGAGAGAAACTTATTTCCTCATCACAGCAGCGAAGCTGGACTACGTCTTGCACCCTAATCAGATATCTGTTTGCTTCTGATAGAGTCTATAAAATCAAAAAATTAAAAGAATATATAAATTTTTAAATGAATACTACCAGTGTAGAACTATTTTATAGCCAAGAATATGTATTGCATGGAACTGAGTTATGAAACAATAAGTTTTTGTTGTTTATAAAAACAGGCTTTCTGTAGAAAGACCACAGAATCAACAATGACATTTTCGAAGGTTGTCAAATCTTTTAGAACTACTGGAATTGTTTGGTCGGGACATGTTTTCCTCGTGCCAGGACTGTGTGGGGTGGGGGACAAGAAAGAAGGGGCTGTGAAGGAAAGGAAGCAAATGAACTGTGCAGACTCCAGCTGCTGTACTGATGATCACTCCGCATGTTCAGTGATCCAGACTTGAAACTGTAGACTGTGAGTCCCAAGAATTTGGACTATTGTATTACAGTCAACTCCACTTCTTCCTTACCAAAATATGTAGATTAAAATTAAAACAACTCCATCTTGCTTCCCCGATGTGGACAACTAAAATTAACATCTCCAATCAACTGACACTCTTAACTCCTCCTAAGTGTCAGACACTAGAAGAAGCCAAGTCATAGCTCACACACGATGGGGGCTCCCGAGGCTGTGAAACATCAGGGAAGGAACAGCTCATGGCTGGAGGAAGCTTCACAAAGAAAATAATGATTGATTTCAGTTTTTAAAGGCTCAATATCCACTGGAGTAACACAGGAAGGTGATTTCAGAGAAGGAAGAGTATGTGTGTAGAACAAATGAGGAGAGGCTACGTATGCTGTTGGAGAATGGAGAGTAGATTTGTGTGCTGTGGCTGGTGGTAGGGAAAGCTGTAAGAGGACCAGGTGAGATTCCAGAGGTAACAGAGAGCTAACGGACAGTGTACAGTGTACGGACAGTGACCCTGCCCCTGGAAGGAGCTGGTCATCACAGTGCCACCAAGCAAGGAGCTAAGACTGTAGAGAAGTGGTAGGGCCAGGTCATATGTGCCTCTATGGAGCATGCTTGCAACCAGGGTGTGAAATGTGAGAGATTCCAGGTCTCTGGCAGTGGCAAACTGCACAAATGTTGGCTGTGCTGGGATCTGTATGTCTTCTTTTGCCAATGATGAGGTTATAGTCATGAGCACGAGGCGGAGCAAGTACATCAGAATACATACAGGGCATCCCCAGATGAGTCTCTGTATATCCGACAGCTGCTCTTTCATATGGATGTTTTCCTTTATCTAGAAAAGAAATTGACTTTAGCCAACTAAAATTGTGATATTTGTGTTTACAAGAGAAATTGTTTAAAGTATTTTAAGGCTCAGGACTTGCTACTTTAGTAAAAACCTCACTTTTCTGTACCCATTGTTTTAAACAAAGGCAAGTAACAAGACTATTCAAAAGAGCATCTTCAGGGTACATACATTCAGCCCAGACGAATATACACACAGTACAATCATGGTTATTTTCAGAATGAGACTACTGTACTCCAACATGCTCAAGTCTTTTGGAAAATAATTATTATCACTGTACTTATGGAGGCAGAAAGCTAATTGATACCTTAGTACTTTCAGAAGTAAAGGATTGTACATTTGTGTTGTTTTCTTTCATTTATCTAGAAAAATCAATCCAAATTTCAAACTTATGTTACTAAAAGTTTTACTGTAATTGTGCAACTATCTGTGCAGCTATTCTGCCTCATGTTGTTGGACTTAGCATAGATGCCCTTAATGTACAAAATCACTCAACACTCATTTAGCATTAAAAGAATGAAAGACTAGAGTAAGTACGTCCTTGAAGACAAGCTATCTCAGGACCTTTGAGTTAAGAGTACCACAAAAGCATTGTAACATTCTTAAAGGACACAGATGCTTATCAGCAACCAACCTGATCTATATAATCTTTATATGTTTTGATTTGGTTAATTGCAGTGTTCAGGTCCCCATGACCAACGTGTTCTGCCGGAGTATGAAGCTTCAGAGCATAGAGAAGATGAATGTACTCTTCAAATCTCCGGAATGGGTACAACAGCAGCTCCGGCAGGCTGTACCAGATATAGAAAGGGGAGCCTTGGTCTCTCTGAAGGTCAAGGAGGTTCCTTGTCCTGAGAACCCAGCTGTGCTCCCCCTCAGAACTCACCTCAGCATGTGGGTGACAATCGTCTTATCATGTCTCTTCAAGAAAGCTCGGAATGCCGGTGTCATCTCTCTGCACTGAAAGGTGAGAATGACACAGTCAAAGCTTGGCTCTGTGAGACAGCTGCAGAGCCCATCCACCAAGTGAGGATCTGTGGAAGCTCCAAAGGGTGACCTCTCCAGCTAATCAAATTACTAATAGAACCACTGGTGTCTCTAGTATACTAAGTATGACGTATTAAGTATACCATAGACCAAACCCTACCACTGAACTTAGTCAGCAGACACATAGTAACAGATTCTGCAATCAGGTGGGCTACAGTTTACAACTGGAATAAATTGAATATGTTACCTTGTAAAGTTGTTCAACTTCTCTAAGCCTCAGCTTTCTCATCTTTAAAATAGATATCAGACCTAAATTATGTGAAAGGAAAGAGTCCTATCCATAAAGTACCTAGCGTGCAATAAATGTTACTTTATTTCATTACAGTGAGAACTCAACTACTGATGATATTCACCTTTAACATTGCTATTCAATAATAAAAAATTATAATAAAATATTTAATCATGTTTTCCATAAAAGTGCTTCACTGTACTTATCTAATGAGTGGTTTTGTTGTTTTTTGTGTTTTGTGTTTTTTTGAAACAGGGTCTTGCTTAGTAGTCCAGGCTGGCCTTGAGCTCACTATGTAGCCCACGCTGGCCTCAAACGCATGGTGATCCTCCTGCCTCAGCCTCATAAGTGCTGGGATTACAGGCATGCACCACCACATCCAGCTGGCAATAAGTGTTTTAATATTCATTTATCAGCATTAATCCACCCATGAAGTTTCTGCCTTCCACTCAGGAGGTACATGTCTAAAAGACGTCAGCAAGCTCATTTCTAAAATCCAAATATTCACTGATTTCAATAATATTAATAGCTAACATTTATTGAATATTTATATGTACACACTATTCTAGTGAAATAGGAATCACTATTACTGATAGCAATAAAAATGTTGGCACCAATTTGTTTCTGATAATACATGACTCTCTGCTCCAATTCTTGTCCTCAATATCAGTTCTATGAAACTTATTCACGAAACTTGCACATCATCAAGTAAGAACTGCCCACTGAACCCTAGCTGAAGTCCCTCCTTCCTGCAGGGCCCCATGCCACCCCTGGAGCTGTTCCGCTGGCCCTGCAGCTCCCCTGCCCAGTGCTGAGGCTGCCAGGTAGTGCTCAGAGTCTACAGAGTTTTCTGGGGAGCATGGGGTGGGAGTGGAGTCCAGACTACTTTTCCCAAGGACTCTTCTTGCCTTCGATCTCACTTTTGCTCATTTAATTAGTGCTCCATACAACCTGTAGCCTAGCCCTGGGGCAAGCTCAGTAGTGCTGCAGCGTGCAAGTCATCCACTTCTCTGTGAGTGAGTCCTGAAAACCTCAGCTCCTCACCAAGCTGGACTTGTCCAAGGTGTTCTTTGGTTTGTTGGCCCCCTCTCCACCCAGAGGCAGATTACGTCCCTCCAGGAAACTTATAAAAGACAAGTTGTCCAAAGAGCTGAACTTGTCATGGCCACATAAATTATTGTGGCAGAATGGAGTCAAAGCTCATGGTCCTGCTTCTATGTGGCTGGTGACGCTCTCCTGTCACTGAGCCACATGGAGGCTGGGGAAGGTGGGAGCCTGCAGTGTGTGTGAGGATTCATCCAGCTCAGCAACCAGCTCCTGGGCACTGCTATGTGCCAAGCACGGTGCCAGCCCTGTCCTGGGGAGCGCACAGTACATGGGAGGAGACCTGGGAGCAAGAGCAGAGAAGCGCCCCGCCTACTGACTGGTCCTGTGGGTTACACACAGCACAAGCTCAGGACTAATAAAGCCATCAGTTGTGACTCCCACCACTTACCTTCTCAATAGTTCTCAGAACAACAGGATAATTGTTGAAGAAATTGGTGTATGTATTCAATTGGCTCCCAAACTTGATAAATATATCCCCCACACAGTGGGCCGGGCCCCATTCCTGTAGTCTGTCTCCCAGGTTACCTAGAAACTGCCTGCAATCGGAAAAAAAGGACATTTGCAATATAAGCCCACAAAAGCCTACAGATTTAGACACTAATGTGTTGTCATCAGTGCAGCCTTTTGCAGCCTAGTCTTTTACAGCCCTTACTTGACTGTGATCAGGTATCTTTTTCTTAAATCAGGGCCAGGCAGATCTGATAGGACAGGGGGAGCTGGAAAGTGCAGGAGGAAGGTGGCTGTGAGAAACCCCCTGCCTTAAATCAACTCGATGCGCGTCCCACCCTCAGTCCGGAGAAGAAGTGCAGTGACAGCACAGCTTCAACCTCTATGGGCTTCTCAGGGAGCCCTCCTGGCCACCACAGGCCTTGAAAACCAGAAGAGCCCTCACCAACACCTTGACTTTGGAGCGTCAGGTGGGCAGTGGTCCCAGGTCACCTAGAGCGGGCTGTCGACGAGGCACACACTCAGCTCGCGTCACTTTGCCACAGCTGGAAATGACCGCCTTGCCCTCCTGTGCACAGAGCGCAGGTGCTATTCAGCTGCTCCAGCCCTGGGCTTCCTAACAAAGCATCCTGGAGCCTTGTTCCTTCCCCACTGCACTCCGTTCTGCAGTCTTTGACGCAGAAGGTCTGCAGCCCTGGGCTCTTCTCCGGCACAGCTGCGCCCTGGGGTGGCGGCGGAGGGCCCGGGAATCACTGCAGCTCTGTGCAGCCCGTGAGCACCAAGCTGAGGAGCCTCTCTCCTCTGCGAGGTGACCAGGGGCCCCCAAAGGGGCAGAAAACGACCGAGCCTCCCTTCAGCTTTTGAGACAAAGTCTGGGCTCCGCCCACCACCCCGTGCGCATTGTTAACAATACACATTCAGAGTTTGTTTACCTGTTCAGACTTAAAATCCGCAGAATATCAGAGAAAATGATCTGGATGTTTGCAGCGCTCAGAATCGCTCTGTTCGCGGACAGCGCCGCTCCCAGGGGTGCGGCATAGACGTCTCTCACCGTCTCCAGCAGCTGCACATACTTCCTTTCACTCCGCAAGAGTTCCCGGACCGCCGCGGACCGCCTCTCCGCCCAGTCCCTCCTCAGCCTCCTCTCCTGCACAACAGCAGTAAGGACCCACAGGAAAAGCCCGGGGGACCCCAGCCTTCAGCCTCCGGCCAGGCTCCCGGGGAGGCCAGGGAAAGCAGCCATCGTCCTCGCTGGGAGGTGGGGACCAGGACAGCTCTGTGGCGCCCCTGAAGAGACCCGTAAACAGAGGGGCTGAGGCAAGACCAGTTCGTGGCAGGGTCTGTGGCTGAGGCAGGACAGGGTCTGATTGCGCGGCTACCTGCACAGCAGCACGTGGAGACTGAAGCCCGGATGCACCCCGCCGCAGACCGGAAGGGAAGACGCCTTTCCCTAGATCGCTGTTCTCCACAGCAGCTTCACCGCCTCCTTAGAAGACCCGACAGGCCCACGCGTCCTGTCCACCACAGCCGAGCATTCCTCTCTCCTTCCCCACGGCTTTACCGTACACAGAGTAACTGGGGTGTGTGCACAGTGATTTTCGAAAGGACCACTCCTATGTTTTGTTTGAGATCGGATAGAGCCAGGAGGAGGGAAGACCCCCTTCCCTGAGCGCATGCTCACTCAGCTCTCGCATTTATATTCCAGTAGGTGTTTTGCTCTCAGCGTTTTAACAAACAAAAAAGCTCTTGCATACTCTTTTAACAACAAAAGCTCTTGCATACCTTGTGCTATTGGAGAATTTTAATGTTTTTAGTTTATCATTGTAAAACCAAGGATGATTTTATATCTCTACTCAGGACCTTGCGCTTGCCAAGCAGGTGTGGCACCGCTGAGCTAAATTCCCGACCCCTTTTTACATGGTTCTTACATGTAGGGCAACCTGTCTTTAAGTAAGAACAAATTACTCTAAAAATGAATATAAGTTTGTTGTTTATGGGTTAAATAACCTTGTTTAAAATACAGTATGACAACCGAAGTGTGATGCTATGGAATCATCACCAAGTTAAGTCAACCACCATTTCATGAAAGTAATTTAATAGGAAAAATGGGAAAGCTAACTCTCTTGAAAATACTATAAACACACTGCTCTTGGTTGTTTAGGTTCCATCTTTCAAGCACATAGTTTGTATGTAATATCCATTTAAATGTATCACATAAGTTAAAAACATACATCTGCATCCCACTTGACAGGTGGCTTGGAGCCTGGGTTATATTTTTATGTGCATTTATTGATCTATATGTTTTTAAATATTGATCTTATCCAACTTTTTGTTTTTTGTCTTTTGAGACAAGGTCTCACTATGTATTTCAGGCTAGTCTTGAACTCATTATGTAGCCCAGGCTGGCCTTGAACTCATGGCAATCTTCCTGCCTCAGCTTCCCAAGTGCTGGGAGTACAGGTGTGTGTTATCACACCCGGGCCAACATTTATAATCATTGTGGTTTCAAGTTTCAATTGTCAAACCCTTTGTCTTTAAAGCGTGGTCAGATGCTACTGTCTTTAGTCACAGGAGATACCATAGTACTCTCCTTGGTGGCTCCTGGTGATGGAGTTGGGGCAGATGGAGATCCCATGGCCTGAGGTCCCTGGCCGGACACACTCTAGGTGTTGTGGGGCCCTGAAAACCCTTGGGTCTGACTCAGGACCTCAGGAGTGACTCGTGTTGTTTGTTTGTTTTTCTCTCTCTCCCGGTTGTCAGACCTCAGGGAAGCCTTCTAATATGTCTCTCTAGGTCTTCGTCTGTGGAAGGTGGCTACTGATGTCCACTTTCAAGGCTTCTGAGAAGGAGATGTGACAATCATTGTGCGCATATGTGGGAATCCAAAGCACCCCACAAACGCTGTGAGTTCTCTTAGACAGGACCGGCCTTCCCCTTTATAACAACCTCCTCCCTGCCTGCCTTTTCACCAGAATGACAGATCTCTAAGCCTCACCCTGATCAGAGTCAGCTGTTGACGTCAGGTAGTGAGTTGGATCAGTTAGAAACTGTAAGCTTTTACGTCCATGTGTCATTTCTTTAAATGATGTCCTAGTATGGGAAAATCATGGAGTTACACACAGACTGGCTTTCTCCCCAGATGTTACATCCCCATCCTTTTAACTCAGCTTCTTTTCAGTCCTGGGCTTATTCAAGAGAAAAAAATCAACCAGCTGGTTTCCCCTCAGTTATTTTTAGGGTTTTCTTCTCTCTGAGGGAAATTTTCATTAACCAAATGCAGACTGAAGCTTCACTGTTAGGAGGAGAACTAATGGAGATTCATATCAATAATTGGCTTACCAGCTTGACCAGCCCCTCCAAATTGAGAGCACTTTTGCTCAGACTCGACTTTGTGTCCTGAGACTTGTCTTCTATCACATTTCCTTTCTACAGATTAAAAGGAAAAGAGCACACTGTAAAATTCACCTCACATGCCCTTTTCTGGCTTGTCTGTTTTCACATTTAAATATAGTTTATTCCTTCTTCACTTTACCTTGTTAATTGTTCCTGTTGTTGTCTCCCTATAAATTAGCACATTTTTTAAGAAAAACCCTTCCAGACCCCAGCTGCCAGCAGCCTCTCAGGCCCACTCCAGCAATGGAACGGAGACCCCATGTTTATATTGAGAGATAACAGTGACAAAGGGTTACTCCTGCTGCCCTTCCTAAGAAAGATACAACTATCTGTGGAAACCCCCTGATGTGCACGCAGAGACTGGAAGAAAAATATCAATTTGTAACCACGTCTCCTTTTGCCTTACTCAGGTGAAAATCAATTTGTATTTTGTAGCTGTGGGGTTCTTTATGGCCCTAGCCACTGAGCTGCAGCCGGTCCACTCCCCACATCCTTCAGTCATTTCTTTGGTCCTCCTCGAGTGTGGCTGTCTCATGCCAGCCTCATATATATTTATACTTGTGGCTAGGAAGTAAAAAAAAAATCTGCCTTAGGGTCGGGGAGTTAACTCAGTGGTTTTGCTGCCTGCTGCGCAAGCACAAGGACCCAAGTTCGATCCCTGATACAAAAAAAAAAAAAAAAAAAACTACCTTAAATTTTGACAGAATAATTCAGTTTCTCTCTGAATGGAGCACTTTCTTCTTTTCAGACTAAAGATAGTGCTGATTATTTATAGTAGAGAAATGATCACTTCACCAAGCCAGCAGAGACATCAGTGCTTGTCCAGGTAGGAGGTCATTGCAGACATAAAATGAAAGTCAAGCTTGCATCATCCAGGCCAAGATTAGGATTAGGATAATCAAAACAGTACAGGACTTCCCCATGGATATCACAGGTAAAGAGACCGCCCTAAGGTGAGAGACCACCTATTATGGTTTGGACCTCATATGTCCCCCAAAGCCCGAGGGTTGCAAACAGGTAGCCAGCCTGTGGCACTGCTGAGAGGCAGTGGAAACTTTACTGGCAAGAAGTGAGGTCATTGGGGGTGTGCCCTGCCCTTCAAGGGGTCGCTGGACCCTGGTCTCTTTCTCTCTTTGCTTCCTGGCCTCCATGAGGTAAGCAGATTCTTCTGCCTCCCCACAGGCTCTAAAGCAACCAGGCCATATGATCAAGGACTGGAACTGAGAGCCAAAGTCAGCCTTTCCTTCTTTAAGTCTTTTTCTCAGATATTTTGTCTTCCAGTAACAGAAAGCTGACTAACACATAACCTACTATGCGTGCCCACCCGAGCACTTAGACATCAAAATTCAGGTGCTGGTCACCCCTCACCACAAGCCTGTGTGCTCCATCTCTGGATCAGTGATGGCTACTTCTTAAAACATAAATTCTTCTTTGGGGATAGGAAATTGATTTGGCATAGTAATTTTATTTGAACCTAAAAAAATGGAGAACTCTCTTTATATTTTATACATAGTTAATAACTGTTAGGATTTTTAAAGCCCATTTTTATATTAAGGTTCCACATTCTTATTTTGTTTTTAGGGATGAATTCAGAGGCAGTAACAGGAGCCACACACTGCAAACTTGAAAGGAAATTATTTGGGGCTGGTGCACTTCTGCCTTCCTTGTCTCCAGGAGGTATAAGAAAGAAGCTCACAGGGCTGGGCTTTGGTCACACAGTAGGAATTTTCCTGTAGGATGGAGATCAGGCAGACACTGCATTTTCTGGAGTCATTTTCCTAGTCTTGGCTGATGTTTTTCCCAGAAGATGCTGCGCTGCCTGGGTCAGGGGCCAGAAATGATTGTGAAAATTCGAAAATGACAGGTAGAGCTCAGAAGTTAACAGTGATTCTGGCTGTGACCCGTCACCATGGGTTCATGGTTATCAGGGAAGACACTACAGGCATACAAAACCACGTGGGCAGCATGACTGGGAGATTATATAAATAATATATATGTATATAATATTTTTGTGGATTTGATAGACAAGCCCGTTACACAAGCCCCTAAGGGGAAGATCTTAAGAACAATCATCTCTGGGGGCCTGGGGATGTAGCTCAGTGGTTCTGCCGCCTGCTTTGCAAGCGCAAGGTCCTGAGTTTGATCCCTGGTAGTAAAAAAAAAAAAAGAGCCATCATCTCACAGAAGCTATTATTTCCACCTCCATGGCTGTGGGTTTATGTTCTCTTCTAAGCAGATATCATCCAGAGTTTTAAAAATAGACCTCAAGGTGTAGAGAAAGTCAGCTTCTTTATTTTGTTCTAACCTATGTTTAAACTGTGGGGTTCCCAAATTTTTGTGGGCTTTGTGAACACTCTATTAAGTATTCAGTAATAAAAAACCAAGTAAGACTCTAACACATTTTATTTCTAATTTGATTTCTTTCAAAAAGCATCCAAGAAGTGCTAAGTGTTAGGGAATTATGCATTTCTGGAGTTTTATTCCAAGCAGATGATGTAACAGTAGCAGGCTGATTTCCAACAGTGAGGCAACTCTAAGCCCAAACTTCATGCCTTCTTTTATTAACAAACTTAGATGTTTAAGTCAACAGTATTTTGACAGGACTAGATTTCAGTGTGGATTTTTTTTTTTTTTTTTTTTTTTTTTTGCAGAAGGAACCTAAGAAAGTCCAAGAAAGCTGGGTATAGTGGTATATGCCTTTAATACTGGAACTCAGGAGGCTGAGGCAGGAGGATCACTTGGAGTTCAAGGCCAGTTTGGGCTACACAGTAAGTTCAAGACCAGCCTGAACTATGTAGTGAGACCCTGTCAGAGAAAGAGAGAGAGAGGGAGAGGGAGAGAGAGGAAAGAAAGAAGAAAGGAAGGAGAAAAGGAAGGGGCAGGGAGAGAGGGAAAGAAAGAATGAAAAGTGTCCTGGACTGCAAATTTTTTTAAAAATTAAATTATTTCAGGGCCAGGGATTTAGCTCAGTGGTTTCGCCGCCTGCTGTGCAAGTGCAAGGACCCGAGTTCGATCCCCGGTTCCACAAAAAAAAAAAAATTAAATTATCTCAGAACTCACCTGAGAAGTGACAAGCCTTAATTTTACGCCTTATTACAAATTTCCAACTCTTCCCCTCACAACTAAGTAGTGTTATTCAAGACTAGCTTGGTGCTGTTTGTGCTCTGAAATGGCTTAAATGTTACCCATGTCACCACAAAACACCCTTTTAAATAATAGTCCCTGAAAGTGGAGTTCTTAGGAGAAAGGACAAGTTGAGAGCTTTCCAGGAAAAACTGGCATTATGATTTATGAATTTCTTCGCCACATGTGCCTACCTCCACAGTGAAGCAATGGCATAAAAAAGTAGCAGCAACTTTACCTTCATGAGTAAACTGAATGTTTCTTTTGGGTCACATTTTGTCAGAATAACATTCCCTTCAAAGTCTTTGCTCTTTTTGCTTTTCTTCAGCAGAAAATTTGACAAGAACTCCAGGGGTTTGTCCTGAAAAATGGCCCCCCAACACAAAAAAACACTGTTAAAACATTCATCTGGCATAAAGGCCTTCAAAAGAACAGCAGAAGAGAGAATACATTTCTGGAGCATTTTCTGCTTTGTGCCTAATTAATGTATATGTCCAGAAAGCAAAGTAATTATTACTCAGTCGGCCAAGGAAATTCTCTAGCTAATCCCATATTCTAGTCACCATTTCAACTCGTGGCTTCTTATCACATCTGGTTAGGACACCACGGTCTTGTGGAAGGGTCTCCCAAGATCTTCAGACCTACAGGGGCCCAGAAGAATCCCTCGGCCCACCGAGGAAAGGAGGCAGGAGGGATCTTGCTGTCTGGGGGAAGCAGGCCTGGGTGAGGGGCCCCTGCAGCAGAATTGCTAGAAACACACCAAGGCTCCTGATTTGCTTCCCTCTCAGGTTTGAGCACCATCACAATTACATCCTGCCTGGTTCTTTCCCCACCGAATATGTTGAGCCACACTGTGGTGTTTTTGGCCTCGGGTCGTTCTGTCCCTGCCCTCTTCATCCTGAGCTCACCAGGGCCGCCCACACCTTGCCCAGAGCCCTGCTGAGCTGGGTCATCAGAGGAGATGAAACATAGGCAGCTGCAATGCCCCTGGCAGCTGAGCCTGCAGAGGCCTGGGCAGCCCAGGAAGCCAAGTGGAAGCTGGAAGTGGTGGGTGAGGAGAGGGCAGCCAGCGCGAAGCCCACCTGCGAGGTGGTCTTGCCCTCGGGACAAGGAGTTGAGAAGCTTTCCCTGCAAGGCGGAAGATCTCACGCCACCTTGAGAATGCCAGCATCGCCTCTGTTCCCGTCCTCTGCCCGCTCCCTCAAAGAGCAAGCAGTGCGTCTCTTTCTCCCACAGCCTGACTGGCATCGTTTGGGGAGGGAGCGAGGGTCTTCTGAAATGTGGCTTGGCTTTTCGGGAAGACTATCCAAGATTTGCTTCTAATAAAAATGTCTCTTTAGGCTCCCCCATACCTCTTCCCAGCCAAACTGTTGGTTTGTTTATTTCTGTCCATTTGCATTTTCTTTCCCATCCACTCTCGTCCAGTGCCCCTTTGCCCTTCATCTGTTTATATCTGGTTTCACACGTTTCAGTTTTCTCCCTCATAATCCTAGTTGTTTTCACCGTAGAATAATATTCACATGAAATATAAAACCATAGACATGTTTTTTTAAAGAAGTCACTTCTGACCAACACTAAGCACAAGACAGAAAACAGTGCACAGTGTAAAAAACTTTAAACAATCCAGAAGATTTTCCTGATTTTCTTGGGCCCAGAATCTCAGTGGCTGTTTTCACAAACTGATGAAGTTTCTCTGAGGAATTGTGCCCCCAGATGAACTGGCTTTAAAAAATGATAGATGCAAACTGAGAATTTATTGCTGAGTGGGGATATTTCTGGTGTGCTTTTTTCTTTTCTTTTCTTTTCTTTTTTTTTTGGTAATGGAGACCAAACTCGGGTCCTTGTGCTTGCGCAGCAGGCAGTGAAACCACTGAGCTAAATCCCCAGCCCGCTTTTTTCAATGAAACACTTACAGAATGTTCTTTTGACAGCTCTCCCAACCCATCCACCAGAGCTTGTGCAGTGTCTTGGTTATTGAGAATGTCCTCCGTGCTCATGGAGTCAAACATGAATTGCCCTGGAATTAATTTATGTAACACATATTATCAAAAAGAAAATAACTCAGTCTTCCTAGTTGCTTTTTAGTGGACAAAAATGCAAAGAATAGGAGTAAAAAAAAAATTTTTTTTTGAGACAGGGTCTCATTATGTAGTTTAGGCTGACCTTGAACTCTCTATGGAGTCCAGGCTGTCCTCAAACTCATGGTGATCCTCCTGCCTCAGCCTCCCACGTGCTGGGATTACAGACATGCACCATCACACATGGCATGGAGTGAAATTTTTATGATGTTATGAAATTTATATTATGCCATAAATTTATTTTCCATTACTCCATGGGAAAGAAAGCTAACCTATCAGTCCTACTATGATAAAATACAAAATGAGCCTAAGGGATTTAAGTGTGCAGTGTACAGACAGTACCCATCCTGGCAAAGCTGATGCTGAACCAAATCTATAAATTGAACAATAAAAGAGAACACATGAAAAGAGAACCTTATAAATTTAAGTGTTATAGTCTCATTCCAGCCAAAATTTGCTCCTCATTTTCTTTTAGCATTGTGCTCAAAACAAATATTTTAAGTCCTTGGGAAATAACATACAGACAGACACCTTTCAAATTTTTATGTTTTGAATAACATACTTTTATTTGAAAACAAATTTTTGCCATTGACTTCTCATTGTCTATATATATCATCAAAAAACCTTCCATCTTTTCCAGGAATGGTGGCACACAACTGTAATCTCAGCACTCAGAAGGCTGAGGCAGGAGGATCACCATGAGTTTGAGACCAGCCTGGGCTACACAGTGAGTTCAAGGCCAGCCTGAACTACATAGCAAGACCCCATCTCAAAAACCCAAACAGACAAACAAAAACAACCTTCCATCGTCAAGGGAGAAGAGGGAAGAGGGAGTAAAAAGAATTAAGATGTGTTATGTATGTGTAGCAACTCCTCATGCTCAATGTAATCATTATATATTGCAAACATGTACTAAAGCAAAGGACCACGGAGCCCAATACCAAAGTATGCATCTTAGGAAGGAAGGAAGTGGAACTTAAGCTGTAGGGCAATTTATGTAACGGGGCTGTGGTGAAAGAGGGCCTAACCGGGATGCTGGGGCTCAGCATTGAGAGCAAACTGTAATGGACAAAAAGACTCAGATGTCGGGCTCAGCACCCAGCAAGTTGTGTCTAGGCCAAATTGGCCAGCAAAGGAATTAAGATGGTAACACTTCAAAACTGGCATCAGTGTCAGCATCTTGCTCATGAATATATTTGTTCTTGGTGGGCACTCATTATACAAATATTTGAAAGAAAATAATAAAAACAAAGGGGATAAAATTTTACTGAAAATGTTAAATTTTACTTGTGCTCTTCCTAATCTTGTAGTTCCTCTGGATAGGAAATAAACTTTGAGTGGACCATGATTGTAATCCTAGCGCTCTGGGAGGCCGAGGCAGGAGGATCACAAGTTCAAACCCAGCCTGGGCAACTTAGTGCCCTAGTGAGACCCAGTCTCAAAAATTTTTTTTAAAAAGGACTGGGGGTGCAGCTCAGTGCAAAGGCCCTGGGTGCAAATGCCAATACGACAAAATAAAATGAAATAATTTTAAGAAAAGGGAATAAATTTCATAATTAACATGCAGCAGAAGTACCCAGAGCTCTTACCAACCATCCTGGCACTGATGCCCTTCTGCAGTTCCTTCAAGAAAGGACCGAGCTGTTTCCTCACTGATTTCAAGGCGTCTTCCAGGAGGTCCGCGGCGTGGGCCCAGGTCTGCAGCTTGGATTCGCTGAAGTAGACAGAAGGCGGAGCCCCGTCCGGTGGCGGTCCCAGCCACTCACTGAGAACTGACATTGTTTTTTTTCCTTTTATTATCGACAAATTGAGCTCAGATGAAAGAATTCTACTTCTTGTTTAAAGTACAACCAAAACTAAGTTGTATTCATGCTGGGCTCCTTATCTTTTCTCATTAGAAGACTAAGACTCAGCAGCCACACAGAGTAAAACAAGAATGTCACAAAGGACGCAGAGAATTGTTTGCAGTGCCTGTCCTCTACAGGCAACGCAGAAATTAGGAAATGCTGCTTGAAATTAGGAAATAGATAACTGCTGCCTCGCGCCCCGGAAGCAGAGTCCTCCTCGTACAAGCAAGAACACACTGCATTTCCTTTTCATCTATAGGTGAGAACTCCAGAAGGTTCCTCTTGCTTTTCCCATGTCCCCATCACGACACGGGCTGCAGCCCTGTCTGCCTTATGTCAGTGAGACCGCGCTCTGCCTGCCCTACCTCGCCGGGTCCCCATGCATCTCCTGCTCACCGATGACGCAGTGGTCTGACAAGCTCCATTTTCTATCCTGAATGGGTGGATGATCCTATTTTTCGTTTCCCCTTACTCTTATTGACAACCGTGTGAAAAGGCTTACTGTGTGTTCCTTCATAACGTAAATGAGAAGAAAGAGGAAGGAGGAGGAAGAGGAAGAAGGGGAAGCAGAAGAGGAGAAAGAGGAGAGAATCTGATCCATGATGCAAACAGCAGCGCCACACCCTGCAGAGCTGGGCCAGGCTGATCCTCCCCCCAGGGCCATGTCTTCTATCACTCAGAGATTTTGTTTTAAGAACTAACACTAGTGGCTTTGACACCACATGAAGTCAGGGCGCTCTCTGGCATATTTCCGTGGAAGCTCTTCCCTCGACAGTTTTACTGAAATGCCAATTTCCCCAGTCTGGAAAGGGTCTTGGCACTTGAGAAAGAGATGCAATGTTTTACGTACTTTCGACATCAGTCCATTCCCTGCTTGATAGGAAGCAAGCAGATTTTAAAAGGAAAATGGATTCTTGTTACCATAGCAAAGCAAATGGTTTTCTTGTTGGTCAGGCGATGTTACAGTTTGATTCGGTATGGGCAGCTTTAGTATTTTCAATAAACGTTTACTCTCGGGGTATTTCCTGTTTTCTATTTCTGACAATGCTACTGGATGGAGTCGAGGCAGGACACCTGTACCTCCTTGTAGCTGCAACTCACCTTCCCAAATAAAACCACGCTGACTACGTTGGCCCGGGGGAGTCTCCTCTTTGTGCTTATTATTTCTCCAGATCACAACTTACATCTTTGCTCGACTCTTAAAGCTGACGTTTTCAACAGATTTTTGTAAGAGACGGTTTGAAGCAAGGTATTTGCGAAAAGTAAGGCTCTTCCAAGTACACACCTCAGTGATGCGAAATGACGTAGTTTGGGGAGCAATGGCACTGAGGAGAAGGCGGCCACTGACGCCGGCCATAGCGGTGCGGGGCGCCTGCCTGTCCCCGTCTCTCGTCTCTCAGTGGCCCTGGAGCCCTGTCCCGGGTGTGGCGGGCGGCCCCGTGTGCACTTACCGTGTTGGTACGAGCCAGTGGCAATCCCGAGCGGGGCCGTGAAGAGCGTGCCGGTCAGCTGGGACAGCTGAGAAAGGACTTCCACGCCCGCCTCTGCTGGCCAAGAACGCTAGGGTTAGTTTACGCCACGTCTCCGCAGCCACTGTGCAATAGGACGGAGAAACGTGGAGCGGCTGCCCGGAAGGCAGCGCGTCGCACCTCCAAATCCTGAAGCCCAACATCTCATTCGTGAGGATTAAACAACAGGGTGGAGAAAGGGGACACGGAGTCGGACCTAGCGCTTATTTTCAAATTTGGAATATTCAGCCCAAAGACGGAGAAAAATCGACATATATTTTCTAAAATAATCTAACCCCCAGGAGAATTTTTACTGCAAGACAGACTTAAAACAGATAAAAGTAGGGTGGAATACAATGGTCAAAACTTAACGTGGCATTGATTTCAGCCCTTCTTCAATGGATCACTGAATTCATCGGACAGACAGTACTTGCAACGATACCAGTGTGGTGGATAAATGTGTTTTAATCTCTGTGGTCCCAGAATAAATAATTACTTCCATTTGTGTCAATTACTTTTTGGGCCAAGATGGCAAATACTGAAAGGTTTGGATGTCTCTCATAATTACCTAATGTTTTCACTGACAAAGAAACCAAGAGTCCAAAGGCAGACCTACAAGATTTAGTGAATTGATTTCAGTGGAAGTGCAAATGAGATTCATTGGGGAAGTGAACAATCATTTTTTGTTTATTTGTTTTGTTTTACTTTGAGACAAGCTCTTACTGTAGTATAGGCTGGCCTGGAACAACTATGCAACCCAGCCTGGACTCAAACTTGTGGTGATCCTCCTGCCTCAGCCTCCCAGGTGCTGGAATTTCAGGTGTGCCCCACCATATCAGGCAGAAAGAACAATCTTTACAAAGAGCAATGCTGGAAAAATTAGGTATCTATATTTTTAAAAAAAATTAAACCCTTATCAATATCTTATGTTCTATTTTTTAAAAAACAAATGGATCACAAACTGAAATGTCAAAACTATAAATCAAATCCTGTAAAGCACAGGAGGAAATCTGTGTGAACCTTGGTTATGTAAAGAGTTTTTAGATATGATACCAAAAGCATGATTTCTAAAGAGAATAATGATTAACTTCATTAACTTCTGCTCTTCAAAAGAAACTATTCAGAGATGTAAAATATAAGTCACAGGTGGGGAAAATAAACAACCTTGTATTTGTGCAAAACATTTGAACAGACACTTCCCTAAGCAAGATATATGGACAACAAATAAGTACATGGAAAGGTGCTTGGTCATTAGGAAACTGCAAATTAAAGCTACAATGAAATACACCATGGGCTGGGGATTTAGCTCAGTGGTTCTGCTGCCTGCCTCAAAAGCACAAGGTCCTGACCCCAGTACCAAAAAAAAATCCACCATGCATCCTCGTGAACAGCCACCGTCAAGAACACTGAGCACTTGGATGTCGGGTGTGGGTGCTTGTAGTTCTCCATTTGCATTTCCACTAGGAGGGCATCGTGGGGTACAGAAGGGAGGGAGGAGCTGGTCTTGGGCAGGAGGGAAGGCTGGGAATGAAGGTGAGGCTGGGGTACGTGGTGGTTTGAAGCGTTAGGGAGTTTCCAAGTGATTCAGTTTTCTTAGGAAAGTAAAGGTGAGGTCAAATGCTAGGAGACAAGGGCAGAAGGATTGGCTGAAGAGGAAAAGGGATGGAATTGTCGTCTTCAAAGAGAAAATTAATATGGAGGAAACGTGGAGACACTGCTCATGGTTGGTGTCTGAGCCTCCGGAATGTGCATCAGCTCCGTGACCGTGACTTCAGAAGGTCCTGCTGCTTCTCCCCCAGGCCAGCCCAGTGCAGCAGCCACAGGCTCTTGGAACCAGCGCCAAGTCCCCCAAAGAGCTGCAGTTGCCCAGGGCAAAGGGAGCCAAAGAAGCTGAGGCAGGAGGGTCGCCATGAGCTCGAGGCCAGCCTGGGCTACATGGGGAGTTCAAAGCCACCCTGAACTATATAGTGAGACTCTGTCTCAAAAAAAAAGTTCAGATTTTTACAAGGTGATGATGATCATGTGGGACAGTTAAATCCAAGTTTATCAAGGGAGGAGCCAAGGATGAAGGCGTGGTGATAGAGTGAAGGAGTGGAGTGTGTAGATGGGAATGATTCCAGGAAAGGACTGCTGGGTTGAAATATGTGAGCGCGGGGTTTGGACACCGACACAGAGACAAACACTGTAGTCGGGAGTGACACAGCTAGCAGGGATGACAAGCCGAGGCCACATGCCTGTAGTCTAGCTACTCAGGAGGCTGAGGCAGGAGGACTGCTTGAGCCCAGGAATTTGAGACCAGCCCAGGCAACACACCGAGACCCTACCTAAAAAAAAAAAGAAAACAGATTTGGGGGCTAAGAATTCAGGGGATCTGATAGTTCATCCAGCTGACGTGTATTGCAGGGCTGGCGCTAGGGCCAGGAATGATGGTGGAAAATAGATTTTTGTTGCCATAAATTTCACTTGAAACAATTTTTGTATCACCAAACTCTGTTCTTTCTTCCCCTTGCTCCTATTCTCTCTGCTTTTCGATGCTTTGCTTTCCCATACCCTTTCTTTTTCTTCTACTCCAGTTAAAAAAACTTGCTCTGGAGGCTGAGGATGCAGCTCCATGGTAAAGTGCTTACCTAGCACAAGCAAGGCCCTGGGTGTGAGCCCCAGGGTCACAAAAATTAATTGCTTTGTTCTCATTACAAAAATAATATTAGTTCCTTCAACTAGGGAGGGAGATGGGGAAAGGAAAGAAGGAAAAGAAAAAAATGAGAAAAGAAGGGAAAAATGGAAACAAAGCTTTGGTAAATAAGAAGGTGTGGAGGGGTTGAAGGGAGAGAAGGGGAATGGGAAAAAATAAGAACCAAGACATATCATGTACAGGTGCAAGTTCCCTAGGATGAATGTGATCATTGTGTATACCTAAAATGTACCAAAAAATTTAATGAATTAAAAAGTATTAGTTCATTCAGAAATTAGAAGCAAACAAAAAATTACTTTAAAAGGATGTTTTTAAAAAGCAATGCGGGGGCAGGGGATTTAGCTCAGTGGTTTCGTCGCCTGCTGCGCAAGCACAAGGACCTGAGTTTGATCCCCGGTACCAAAAAAAAAAAAAAGCAATGCAGGGTAGCACATGCTTGTAATCTCACCACTCGGGAGGCTGAGGCAGGAGGATCGCCATGAGTTTGAGAACAGCCTGGGCTACACAGTGAATTCAAAGCCAGTCTGAACTACATAGCAAGACAAAAACAGGTTACTATATCCTAACTTTTCTGGGAGGCAGCAGAGGTCCACAAATTTGCCTAGGGCCACCTGGCCAAGGAGTGGTATGAGCAGACTCAGGTCCAGGTCCTTGGTCACCAAGGTCACTCTGGGTTCAGAACAGAAGGGACAGTTTTGTCAGACTGGTTGATTACAGTTCCTCTCCTGGTCAGGCACCTTCCCTGTTATTATGGGGGCTGAGGTTATTATATTTTCCAGAATAAGTAGAAATAATGCTGCTGGGTCTTGCCGCGAGTGACTTTGTTCAGAGAGGCTACTCTGGTAACCATTCCTGGCCCCTTCTTCCCCGGCTATGTGAGATATAAAGAGAGAAAGAAGAAGACTAAAATGTGGCTGAGTAATTTGACCAGAGGGCATTTCACAAATTCACACACAAAAAACCTTTGTTGTGCTTTAAACCTATGATGACCCCTGAATTCTCACATTTGTGCAAGGTGCTGAGCACAGGGTGCTGGAGTCATCAGTAGACTCATCCACTGATAAGAACAGTAGCTGAGTGTGCAGTTAGGAGAGGGGGCCTGGATGGAGGGGTGTCACAGGGATTGTGACCTGGAAGGGTGTATGCTCGTCCCTGGCCCCTCCCCTTCCTGTCTGCTTCCAGCCACCATGAGAGGAGCAGCTGTCCTCCACCCAGGCCCTTCCTCCATGCTGTTTCTGCCTTGGAGCCAGCCACCATGGCCTGAAAACACGAGCTCTCCTTTAAGTTGTGGGTGTGAGGTATTTTGTCCCCACAATGAGAAAGTGACCACAACTCACATCATAAAGAGGGCACAACCACCATATCTCTGGAGTGTTCAAAGCTGACCTGATGCTCCAAGCGGCACAAAGAGGTCGACATGTCCCCCTTCTTCCTCAGTGGCCACGTAACTTCCTAATTTCTCCCAGAAGTCTCTCACTTCAGGCCTCAATAAATTTTCAATACCAATTTTATAGCCTGAGGGAAAAAAAAACAAATGTCGTATTAACTTGTAATATTATCATGGACAGAAACTCTTGGTGGAGTGAAGAAATGGAACCATGGATTCCAGAAGCCAGTGTCTGCCCATATCCCAAGATCTCCAGGATGATGAGCCTCATGTGCACCATGTTAGGGCCAGTCATGTGCCCCTGGACACTGCCACAACCACAGCTCCCTCACACTCTGGATCACCTGATGCTGGGTCCTCAGGCTCAGGACATGGCATCTCCGCCTCCACTGTGCAGCCATGCGAGTTACCAGGCCATGTGGGGGAATGGCTGACCAAGTCCTGGGATCTTGCCACTAAATTCCAAAGTAGAAATTCTTCCCACAGTTGTCAATCACAAAAGAAGTAGTTGAGAGCAGAAGTAAGGCTCTCCGAGATGGCAAACGTGAACTGGAAGTCTCCTTTCTCTCTCACTGCCTGGGAAGTGATTCAGGGGCTCAGTCTGCCATCTGGTGAGTTCCCTGCCAACTGGGTCCTTGATTACCTTGTCCCCTGTTAGGGTTTATGTCTGGATGTCCCCTCAAAGCCTCATGGCTCCTAAGTGGGGCTTTTGAAAGGTGACTGAATCATGGGTTCGAATCATAGCCAAATGTTTTCCACTGTTCATTTCTTTTCTTTTCTTTTCTTTTCTTTTGGTACTGGGGATCGAACTCGGGTCCTTGCGCTTGCGCAGCAGGTGGCGAAACCACTGAGCTAAATCCCTGGCCCAATCATAGCCAAATGTGATGTTAGGAGGCAGGGTGGGGTCAGAAGATGGAGGCCACTGGGGTGTGATCCCGAAGCGGTATCTCCCTCTCCAGCCCCTCCCTCTGTCCCTGGTTCCTGTCCGCCATGCCATGAGCAGCTTCCCTCCACCCAGGCCTTCTGCTGTGGCCTGTCTGTAGCTAAGGCTGCCTACCATGGACTGAGACTTCTGAACTGTGAGCCAAATAACCTCTCCTTGAAGTCGAGAGTCTGGGGTATTTTGTCCCAACAACAAAGAAGGTGATTAAGATATCCCCTCTTCCCTCAACCCCCAAGGAGGGAAGATTTGATGAGAGTAAAATTTAAACCAGTTCTATTTTAGGTAATAAGAAGATGTGACTTCTACAAGAGAGAAAGAATCTAGAAGATTACTCCTAATAAATTCATCATCTCCTTCCCCCTAAAAAGCGAGAGGATTTCTGAAAGCTTCCCCATAGTAAGTTAATTGCATCAGCCGCCCCTTTCCCTGTGGTATGAGCCAGGTGGAGAATCACAGATGTGGTCAGCGTCCACCAATGTATAGAACTTGATGCTCGCCGCTGTTGCAGTCACTTCACGTTCATCCTATAAAACTTTCGTGCATCAAAGGACAGAATCAACAGAGTAAAAAGTAAACCTGGAGAAAGGTAAAAACAAAAGGTAGAAAATATTTGTAAATCATGTACCTGATAAAGGATTAATATCCAGGATGTATAAAGGATCTGCTTCTCAACACATGTAAAAATTTTAAAACCCCAATATCAAAAATGGGCCAAGAACTTGAACAGACACTTCTCTAAAGAAGATTTATCAGCAGTCAGCAAGCACTCGAGAAGGTGCTCAACACCACTGACCGCCAGGAAAATACCGATCAAAACCCTGGGGAGGCTATGATTAAAAAAGAAAAGAACAGGGCCGGGGATTTAGCTCAGTGGTTCTGCCACCTGCCTCAAAAGGGCAAGGACTCAAGTTCAATCCCTGGTACCAAAACAAAAGAAAAGAACAAGTGAAAGAGTGAGGAAAACTGGACCTCTTGTGCATTGTTGATTCAGCAGCTATGGGAAGCAGTTCAGGGGTTTCTCAAGAAATTAAAATGAAATCTACCTCAGGATCCAGCAGTCACACTTCTGGGTACACATTTGAAAGAGTTGAAAGTAAGAACTCAAAGAATCCAGGTGAGGTGGTGCATGCCTGTAACTCTAGCTCCTCAGGAGCTGAGGCAGGAGGTTACAAGTTTGAGGCCAGTCTGGTACCTTACTGAGACACTGTCTCAGGTTGAGGATGTAGCTCAGTGGAGAGTGCTTGCCCAACATGTACAATCCTGGGTTCAATCCCCAGCATTGGGAGAAAAATTTAGAAAAACCAAAAACTCAAAGAGACATTTGCAGACCCAGCGTTACTCATAATAGCCAAGAGATGGAAGCAACCTAAATGGCCACTGATGGATAAACTGCTAAACAAAATGTACTATATACACACCGGGGGAATATTATTCAGCCTTAAAAAAGAAAATCCTGTCACACATGCCACACATGGGCTTGAACATGGAACCTTGAAGACAGAGTGCTAAATGAAATATACCAGTCACAAAAAGACAAACACATATGGTTCCACTTACACGAATGAGGTAACTAAACTCAGTAGAATAGTGATGGGCAGGGGATATGGGGAGGGGGAAGAGTGAGTTATTGTTAATGGATAGGAGTTTTGTTTTTGCAAAATGAAAACATTCCAGAAAACTGTTTACAATATGAGCATACTTGATATCAGTGAATTGGATACTGTCTTAAAATGGTGACAACAGTAGCTTTTATGCTGTGTTTTCAATCACAGCTTTTTAAAGTTACCAGAAATTACTTCACTTTTTTCATAAACCCAAAATCAATACTTCTTAGCAACTGGAAATCGAAATAGTACTTTGAAACCCATGCATGTAGACAAACACTACCTACATGCAAAGCTGTTTGTTTTTTATTTTTGTTTTTGTTTTTTTGAGACAGGTTCTGCCATGTAGTGAAGACTGGCCTTGAACTCACTATGTAGCCCAGGCTGGGCTCCAACTCATGACGATCCCTCTGCCTCAGCCTCTGAGTGCTGGGATCACAGGCGTGCGCCACCACGCCCAGCTACATTTGGTTGCTCCTTGCCAATCCTCGATCGTACCTTGGAGTAAATTGATTTCTCTGCTATCTCCGTCGCTAAATATCCCCACACTTCGTGCCTTCCGCCCGCGCAGCGCTGTCTCTATGAGCTGCAGCAGGCCGTCCAGGGTCCCGCCGCTGTGCTCGTACACCGCCGAGAGGACACCGGCCTGGACACTCTCTGCCACCAGCTGGAGAATGGAAGGTAGCTTAGGAGGCAGTGCCCAAGGTTTCAGAACGGTTATAAGGAAAGGATTATAAGGGCTATGTAACCCACGGTGACTGCTAAAGAATATTTTTCAGAAATTATAGAAGTTAAAACTTCCTCCTTCATTGGTTTCTTTTTAAATTATTTTATTTCTTTTCTAATTACAAGAGAAGAAACGTAAGTTCACTTGTGACTCCATCTCTCAGAGCTAAATGTTATTAACAACTTGGGTTATACAGGTACACGCCATCCACGCAGACATATCTGCAACCTTCAAAAGTACAATTAAGATCATACAATTTTGCAAAAGACTTCTTAAATTTAACGTTTTTGTCTTAAGGATGAATTTATGAATTATCAATGTCAATTGGTATTTTCCTCTTTCCCCACAGCCCCCCACCAGCATTTGTTATTGGTTGATTTCATGATAGCAGTCATTCTTTCTGGGGTGAGGTGGAATCTCAGCATTGTTTTCACGTGCATCTCTCAAATGACCAGGGATGTTGAACATTTTTTCATATGTTTATTTGCTATTTATAATTCTTTGTCTGAGAAATGTCTGTTCATTTCAGATGCCCATTTTTGGACTGGGCCTTTAAATTTGGGAGGTCTGATTTTTTAAAATTCTTTATAGATTCAAGATAGTAGAACTTTGTCTGAGGAACAGCAGGTGAAAATTTTTTCCCACATTGTGGGTTGTCTCTTCACACTGCTGGTGGTTTCTCTTGCTGTGCAGAAGCTTTTTAATAAGAAGAGACCCCACTTGTTTATTGTTTGTGCTAGTTCATGGGCAACTGAGGTTTTGTTCATAAAATCTTTTCCTACACCAATGTCTTCAAGAGTTCTACCTAACCTCTGTTCCAGCTGGTTCAGCATTTCTGTTTTAATATTTAGATCTTTCATCCATTTTGATTTTAGTTTAGTGCATAGTGAGAGATATAGGTCTAGAACACTGCTTCACTGCTGGTGGGAGTGTAGACTGGTGCAACCACTGTGGAAATCAGTATGGAGATACCTCAAAGAACTAGGACTGGAAGTCCCACTTGACCCAGCTATTCCCCTGCTGGGTGTCTTCCCCAAAGAATTAAAAGAATCATACCACAGTGATATATGTGCACGCATGTTCATAGCAGCACAGTTTGTGATAGCTAAAACTTGGAAACAGCCCAAATGCCCATCAACTGGAGACTGGATAAAGAAAATGTGGGGATTTTTTTTTATAAAATGGAGTACTACTCAGCCATAAAAAAAGAGAAATTAGAAACATTTATAGCTAAATGGATGTGCATTGAAGTGATACTCTTAAGTGAACTTAATAGGCCACACATGAATAAATACTGAATAGTTTCTCTAGTGTGAGAAACTGAAAGTGTAAATAAGGACTAAAAGGTATAATAGATAATGTGAAATAGAAAGAAAAGGGGCAAAGGGGAAGGGGAAGTGGGAGAGGTAGGGGAAAGGAAAGAAGGGAATGGAATTAATACGAGAAAAAGAAAAAATGGAAACCAAGTCTTTGTAAATAGGGAGGGATGGAGGGGTTGAAGGGAGGGCAGGGGAAGGGGAAAAAAATAAGAACCAAGAGAGATTATGTAAAGGGGTAAACTTCCAATGATGAATGGCATTATATTGTATACCCAAAATGTACCAATAAAATTAATTTTTTAAAAAATTGATATTTTCCATTTAATTTAATATTAAAAGCACTGTTCTTTGAATCCAACAAACTTTTCCACATGATACAGTTAATCCACAGCAGCGATGGTGAAGTCACTGAAGTTGCTGGTTTTCTCCAAAACCCCACAGCTCTTTCTCTCTTCCGTGCAGCTAAAAACCGAAACACCACACGTGGCTGTGTTCCACTTTTTAACTCAACCCCTGCCTTGTTCATGACCAAATAAGCAATCCTGCCACCAGCTTGTGCAAAGAGGGCACGGACGGGCACGAACTTAAGCCATTTATTCGGCCTCGCTCTGTCATCAGTTGTCCACACCATGCCTTTTCAAGCACCAGGGAACCCATCTGCCCCCCTAAGTTCAAAGATACAACGTATTTCACATAGCTCTGCTAAGTTTGACTGTTGTCAGAGATGAGCGCCAACTTCTACTTGGCCAAGGGAAGAGATTTCACATCGGCAAAGTAGCCATTATGTCACAAATGGAACTTCAATGAAAACTAAGTTAGCAAAGAATACAGCCTCCCGAGTGTCACCCTCTTCATCTCCCTGTGTTCATGTTCGGCGTGCGTGTCCGTGTGTATGAATCATGTGCACTCCCATCCACTGGAGTTAGGCCTTGATAAATTCATTTTCAGGTGAGAATACTGCACTGTGGGCAGCTAACCTGGTGCACAGCCCCGCTCAGCCACACACAGCACACCCGAGCGGCATTGTGAGCGAGGGTCCCGGGATTCAAAATTCAAAGCAGCTTTCTACCAAATGCAGCTCACATTTGCATTCTGATGAAATTGAAAACGTTGTTAGTCACATTATGGCAAGTCAGGGGCCTTCTGAATACATACACCAAATGTACACATGTCTTTGTCTCCTATGTGCTTCCTTTATTTTTTATGTTCATATTAAAATTTAAAACTATGCCTTCTTTATAGAGAAAGTATATTTTAATTTAATGACACCCTCATTAAATAGATCCCCAAACAGGACTTCAAACAGCCTTCTCCTGAGAGATGGTGATTATATAATATTATTAATCCTGTGCAAATTCCAGAGATGTTTTAAAATAATCCTTAATCAGCACTTTTTTAAAACTAAGTGCAACAAATTCACTTCACTAAGAATATTTTAGACGCCTACTAAGTGCAGGCAGTTTGCACCTCTACTGTTTCTTTCAAAGGAAGTTTGATGTCAGGTCACTGTTTCCAGTTTTTAAAACTGTTTGTGGTCTGTAAATTTCCACTTAGATCAAACAGTTTCCCTTGTAGAAGATCAATCATCTTTATACATGTGGTGGCCAAAAGATAACCACACTCTCTGGAGTCTAGATGGAAAAAAAGAACAAAAACCCATTCAGGAAAGGTCTGCCTTGCAACCCAGTCCATACCTCATATGCAGGGACCCGAGATGATATTAATATGAAGTGTGGCTGCAAAGCATATGAAGAGCTGTCATCCTTTTTATGAACTCCACACCAATTTTTCTTTGATAATAAAGAGTAGGAATGACTTCCAGAAACATTGCTTCTGCAGAGAACAAAGGGGAATCTGTGAAGTTCTGTTGTCCTTGTAACTTGCCTTTGTCTAAGTAACTGCCACCATCCTGCAGGTGTCGTACTGCAGAGGACACCGGGCCTTGGTGGTTAAGACCTTTCCTGGGGACTCGGTCAGCAACAAATGGGTCTTCGTGTGAGGGGGACCAAATCTGCCCTCGGGTCTCTCTGTCACCTTATGTGGGATGCTGGAAAGGTGGCTTGAAACTTAGCTTCACTTGAGCACTTAAAATTAATGTAATGACACCCTTAGGGGCTCAAAACAACATTTAGAAAGGAGTGGCCTCCAGGTCCTTCTGGGCCTTAGCAGTTTCTGGGTATGGTCCCCATTCTCTCCATAGCCACCCTACCTCCACATTACTGAAGGACGGGGTGGCCTTGAGCTTCAGGAAGGCATCATGTATCTTGAGCAAGGGCATGAATGCTCACTTTCACAAATGTCCAGACAGAGGGATCCACGTCAGTGGCAATGTGTGAAGCTGAAAGAGTGTTGGAACCTTGAGCATTTTAGGTTCTAGTCCTTGAGACTATGACACTTGGGCAAGCTATGTCACCTCTCAATTTCCTCCTCTGAAAACACGAGTGAGGTTATGGGATCACTAGGATCCGAATTTTTTTTTAAGTTTTTAATTTGTAAGCAACTATGCAAATAGTGATAGTTATGAATGTCTGATGGAATGGATGAATAGGGTAAGAATTGAATTTTTGGTAATTTCATCAGATAGCATGATTTTGGTCACTGAATGCTGCCAGCATTTCTCTAATTTGGGTAATAAAATGAGAATTACAACAGCAGGGAGTGATAAAGCATACCTGTAATCCTAGCTACTCAGGAGGCTGAGACAGGAAGATTGCAAGTTTGAGGGCATCCTGGACAACTTAGTGAGACCCTTTCTCAGAATAAATAAAAAGGGTTGGGGATGTAGCTCAGAGGTACAGGTAAGTATGAGCCCCTGGGTTCAATTGTTAGTACTGCCAGAGAGAGACGAGAGAAAGAGAGAGAAAGAGAGAGAGAGAGAGAGAGAGAGAGAGAGAGAGAGAGAGAGGATATTTAGATGTTTATAAACATAAACAGGAATTATATTTGGATCTATTGGGTACCGCTATAGTTTGGATCTGGAGTGACCCCCAAAAGCCAACATGTTGAAGCCTAGTTGGCAGCCTGACTGGCTACTTCAAAGTAGTGGAACTTATAGGAAATGGGGCTTAGGAGAGAGAAGCAAGGTCATTGCAGGCAGCCTGTGAAGGGCTACAAGGACCCCTTCAAAGGTAAAGGTGAACAGGCCTCCTCTACCACACACTCCTGTTATGATGTCCCATGCTGCCACCGGCCCTAGCAGGGACAAGTGACCATGAACTCAATGCTCTGCAACCATGAGCCAAAATAAACCTTTCTTCCTTTTAAATTGATTCCTCTCAGGCATTTGTCATAGCATCAGAAAGCTGACTAACAGATAGTATTTGGAAACCCTTATTCCATAAAAAAAGGTTTAATAATGTTATTTGCTCAAAAACTTTATATAGAAAGTGAACTAAAGGGGCGAGGACTTAGCTCAGTGGTGCCACCACATGCCTCAAAAGCTCAAGGTCACGAGTTCAATCCCTGGTTGAATGTTACATAACTCCTTCAAAAAACATTTTAGAAAAAAAAATTTTAGAGACTGCCTTTCTTGAAAATTAAGTCATTATTTCTGATGATAATTATAGAATATGCCCACATAACTACACAGTATCTTTGCATATTAGCTAAATTATTCTAGAATGGATTCTTGGTAACAGTAGGTGGCAGTTTGCTTACCGCGTGGGCAAAACGTCCAATGATGCCAAAACAAGCTCTTTCTCTGAAGCTCCCTGCAACCCCGACAGATCCCTCAGCATTCGGGAGAGGCGCAGTTGGCATTTGGATGTGAACGACCGGGAGCAGCAGTCTCCGCTGCCCCAGGGCGGGCGAGCTCTGAGTAGCTCCTCTGGAAAACAAGCAGCAGCGCCAGGCTGTTCATTTCGTGCCTCTCTCTCTCCCAGCCAAGCTGACGGAGATAAAGGCATCAAAATCAAGCCGTGCCAGGGCAGTATTCCAAATGATGGGCATTACAGGTGTTTTCAAGCGCGGTCAGGATTCCTCAGCCGCTGCGCTCCGCAGCTGTGAGCGATCAGTTGCTCTAGGTCCAGGACTGGAGCTCAGAGAAGAAGCAACTCTCCCTGCGGCCACCAGGTCATCTGTATAGCTTCTCATCCCCGTCTGCCCTCGACTTAGCTCCAGGCGATTTCCCATTCCTTCCCATCTCCCCAGAGGGAGAGCCAGGGAAAAGGGGGAGAGCTCTCAGGCCCATTTCCTGGCTTACTTTACACCCCGGAGCCAGAAGCCTTAGCTGAAAGCTTGAATCCTCCCTACTCCTCTACAAAATGCCATTCTTCCTGCTTCCAGGCCCATTTTTGTTTCTCCTCTTTTTCATCAATCCCAATTCGTCTTTCCCAAACCTACTTGTTGCCTTTTGCTTGTGTTTGTACTTTTTTACCCTCCTTGTTTTTGGTGACAATTTGACCTTATGTACTCTATCTAAATATGGAATGAAGAAAATAAAAAGAGCCAGCCCTGAACATGGCTGCTATTCCCGAAAGACAGCAAATGCCCCTCTGTGGAAATTTGTGTGAAAATACATTTGTTTCCGTAGTACTTGGGTTAGATAGTTTCTAAATGCTACTCACTCTTACGGAGTGCAGTTTTCTCCCATATTATTTTCCTTAGGCACCTTTCCCTTTGCCTCTCCTGGACCTCCTCATCCTCTGTTTTGGGCTCATTCAGGGTCCCATAGACAGCGGCTGCTTCCCTCGGTGTCAGCCAGTCCAGGTGGGTCACACACGCAATGTAATGGTGCTTCCACGCGCCGTACTCGTTGTCTGCTGGAGTATAGGGCAGAAACCACCCAAACTTAACGCACTTGGGCATCCACAAGCAGTCCTTCAGAAAAAGAAGGAAAGATGAGTTGCACTTTTTTTTTGGTACTGGGGATTGAACTCAGGACCTTGTGCTTTTGAGTCAGGTGCAGTGCCACTGAGCTAATCCCCAGCCCCCGAGTTGCACATTTTTAAGGATAGTTTTCCAGCAATAAAGTTTTCAGGTACACAAGGAATTTTTTTGTTACATAGAGATCTCTACAGTTGACTTCTGCCATTGACTTGGCATATAAACTTGACACGGAGAAATAGTAAACACAAGGTGTTCCGTGGGGAAAATAGTCTTTGGGGACCATGTATCACATGTGAGTTGTGGTAGTTCACAGTTCCAGGTGTGGCTAAAGGGATTTACTGAAGACAGAAGACTCACCCGGGTGTGAGTGGCACTAACCAATTAGGCTTGTTGGCTGAATGGAATAAGAGGGAAATGAAGAAGGAAGGTTTGCTTCTGTTTCTTGGGAAAAGCTCCAGTCTTCACCTTCACTTTAGACATTGTCTCCCAGCTTCCAATACAGACCCTTCAGCCTCCTGACAGGAACCCGCCTGGGATGCTATGCTGAGTGCCAGCCCCTCACCTGGATCCTTCCGGTCTGCAGTGCACAAACAGCTCTCTGCACTCTTCCACACCTCGCTCTGCAGGTGGCCATTGTAATCCTTTTTTGTAAATCCTTATGCATTTGTATATCTCACATTAAATCTGTTTCTCTAGTAAGCACTGACTGATACATGAATACATGCATTAGTCATCTTTGTACACTTAGCCAATATTTCCATAGAGCCGGGTTATTTGAACCCCCGCTTCTGAGAATTCAGTTGCTAGCAGAGGTGTTTCCTCCCCCTGAGAACAATTTTGGTTGAACTACATGATGTTGTCAATATGCAGCCACTTTTGACACATGAAAACAATAAATTCCATGGGATTCAGTCTGATCACATATCTAGACAAAATATTACTAAAATTACCCTGGAGATTTAGCTCAGCGCCACTGCGCCTGCCTCCTAAGCGCAAGGTCCTTAGTTCAATCCCTGGAAACCAAAAAAAAAAGCAAAACAAAAATCATTTCTCTTAAAAATAACAATGATTTTAAGTCACTTGAGCTACCAATGATCCAAGGGATCATTGGATCCAACCCTTGGCTGTGCCTAATATTGGCACTTCCTGTCAGCCCAGGTGGGTGCCAGTTCCAAAGGGAAGCTTATGAGGCACACAAGCAGAGCGGAAGAGCATGGCTGAAATTCAGACTCAGGCGCCATAAAGGATTTTTGGCATTCTCACAGGAAAAGGCAGGGCCAGGGAAGGGAGAGAGCCCTGGTAACCACCACCTCTCAGCTGAGGACCTTTCAGGGGAGAATGACGCTGAGTTGCAGCAGCTATCCCGAGGACTGAGGGCAGCTTTGAAACTCATTCCCTGGCTGGACTTGCATGATCAGTTCCCAGCTTCCCCAAACATCAGAAGCAAAAGGAAATGCTCTCTGCAGGAGGGCAGCGTTCGCAGACTCAGAGGATCACATCATGTTTAGTCTCAGTATCTTGTGTTCAACTCAAAGCAATCAGAATACAAAAAAAATAAATAAAAAGAAGTGGGTTTTTTTGTTTTTGTTTGTTTGTTGTTTTGTTTTTAGTAGCCACAGAGAGACCCTCTGGAGTGCCAAACATTGCAGTTATAAGACAAAAACTTTGCAAAAACACCCTATAATTAATTTGTCCAAGAATATAAGTGACCAGGATGGGTGCTAGGTACACACCTATAATCCAAGCACTCTGGGAGGCTGAGGCAGCAGGAATCCAAGTTTGACCCCAGTTTGGGCAACTTAGCAGAAATCTTAATAGATAAATAAATAAATAAAGGGGTGGCTGGGAGTTTAGTTCAGTGTGAAGTCCCTGGGTTCAATTCCCGGTACTAAAAAAAAAGACTACACACAACCAAGTAGAAAATGTTAGTGAAAGAAAAAAAATCAACATTTTACAACTGGAAAACATAACAACTGAAATTTAAAATTCAATGAATGGGTTTAAGAGGAGATTAGATTACGGCAAAATAAGTAATAAACAGAGGGCAAAAAAAAAAATCCAGACTGAAACATTTAAAGGTAAAAAGATAGAAAATGCATATATGAAAAAGATGAGCTTATGGGATAGGATAAATTAGTCTCACAAATATTGGAATCCCAGAAAAAAAGAAAGCAAATAGGGCAGGAGCCAAATATACAAAGAGATAACATCTGAAAATTGCTCAGAGCTGATGAAAGGTATTATATCTTAGATTAAAAATATCACCGAAAAACACAAAATAGGATAAACATACACATATAAACATATATATCCACCTAGGTGCATGATAATAAAACTGCTAAAACACTAAAGACAGTGAAAAAGGTCTGAAAAGCTGCTAGAGATAGGAACAATAATAAAACTGCTGACTTCTCTAGAAAAAAATTGTGGAAGCCAGAAGACAATGGAATATTTTCAATGTTCTTAACTACCAATTTGGAACTCAAACTCCCAGTGAGAACATCTTTCAAATGTGAAGGTCAAATAAAGATCTTTTTAGACAAGCTAAAACTGTATGAATTTATCAGCAGCAGATCTGTACTAAAAGAAATATTAAAGAGAACTCAGAGAGAAATGATCCCAAAGGGAAACTCAGACATGCAAGAAAGTATGAAGAGCAACAGAAAAAAACATTGACTATATAAAATAACAGTAAAAACTTTTGTGAAATACGTGTGACTGTGTAATATATGTGTGTAAGTATTTGTGTGTGTCTTTATATGCACAGTCACTCTCGGGATCTGAGAGGCTTAAGTATTATAAGTAATCTAATGATGATTTAAGTATATGGGAAAATTTAAAGTATATGAGAGGATTATGCACAAATACTACACCATTTTTTATAAAGGACTTGGGCATTCATGGATTTTGGTGCCTGTGGGGGGAGAAGGGCAGGCTGGAATCAATGCCCATGGATACTCAAAAGACAACTGTACACACACACACACACACACACACAAAACAAATATTTGACAAGAAAACCACCAACCCTGGGAGGAGAATACTATGCCCCTCCCATTGTCTGGGGGTGGTTAGATATCACATGATGCATACTTTAATTTCTGTGGTAACCAGGGAGTAACCCTTACAATGTTTATAATGAACAATTTAAAAATATTTTATTAATCCAAAAGAAGACACAGGAAAAAAAGAACATAAAAGTGCATGCAACATATAAAAAAAATAGAAATATGATCAATTTAAACCCAAATATATCAGTATTTATATAATTATAAATAGATGAAATACTTTAGTTAAAAATTAAAGGTGGCTGGCCGGGGATTTAGCTCAGTGGTTCCGCTGCCTGCCTCGCAAGCGCAAGGTCCCGAGCTCGATCCTGGGTAAAAAAAAAAAAAAAAATCAAAGGTGGTAAAAATGTTTTAAAAAGAAAGAAAATATCCCTAGTGTATTCCTTTTACAAGACACGCCTTAAATATAAGGACATAGAAAGGTTAAAAGTAAAAATACAAAAGCAATCAATCAATCATCCATCCATCCACCCGAACACTGGCCCCACCACCGACAGCCATGATCCCTGAGACCACGATTTCAACACAGCGCGTGCTGGAAATTATGTGTGATCTAAAATGCAAATTATTGCCTTGCATTAAAGAATGCCTATTATTACATTGGGTTAAATCTTTTAAAAGAAAAGGAAGAGACAAATAGGCCAGAGGCGGATTCATGGCAGGAGAGGCTGGTTTGAAGCAGCTGCAGCCGCTCGCTGCTTTGAGCTGCATTCGGAAGACTCAGATTCACGCCCTCTCAGTCAGCCAAGGAGGGACACGTGGACCCCAGAGCGAGGGTTAAGCAACTTTCGACAACTGCGTTATTTATCAAAGATAAAAAGAATGCCCTATAAACCCCAAAGTTTAAATTGTTGTCATGGAAAGCACTGAATTTCTCTAATCAAGAGAAATGTTTTCTAAATCATAGGGAATACTTCAAGATTTTTTTTTCTGCTACTAGAGATCAAACCCAACCCTTCCTTCCTTCCTTCCTTCCTTCCTTCCTTCCTTCCTTCCTTCCTTCCTTCCTTTCTCTCTCTCTTTCTCTCTCTCTTTCTCTCTTTCTTTCTTCTTTCTTTCTTTCTTGTACTGTGAATTGAAACAAGGATTGAACCTAACACCTTTACACTGAGGTACACCACCTTTTTATTTACTTTTATTTTGAAACAAGGTCTCTCAGGCTGAGGATTTAGCTCAGTGGCACCGTGCCTGCCTTGCAAGCACAAGGTCCTGAGTTCGATACCCGGTACCGGGAAAAAAAAATAGCCTCTGAAACAAGGTCTCTCCAAATCACTAAATTGCCCAGGCTGGACTTCATCTTGTAGTCATCCTGTCTCAGCCTCCTGAACAGCTGGGATTACAGGAGTGCACCTGCTATCAAGATTTTTTTAATTACATGAATTATTGGAATAGTGTATATCTCCTTAGCTGAAAAATGTATCAGCGTATTTTATTTATTCCCATGTTTTCACTTAAGAGTAACTTCAGGCCTTCAAAGCCCTCTCTCCAGGGAAGAGAGCTACCCAGTTTCTCTCTGCAGGTCACCGTTGTGTCTCTGCCCTACGTCCAGGAATTGACAAGTCTCGAACCTGTTCAGTTAGAAACTTCCAGGGCCAGCTGACTTGGGCAGCTGCGCACAGATCTTTGGGATTCAGGAAGGAAAAGATATACAGAGAAATGAAGCGTGGTAGCACGGTACAGAAATCCACTCTGGCCACTTGCTTTCTTTCTGAAAACCAGTCTTGGACAAACCTAAAAAAGAAAGATATGGAAATGTGTTTCTAAGTGCTAACATTTAAAATTCAGTTAAAATTTAAAATGTGCTTTTATCATAATACATCTGCATATGTTATATGGTTTTTGTTTTTATTTTGTGGTACAGGGCATTGACCCAGGACCTCAAGCATACTAGGCAAGCATTCTCCTACTAAGCTACACCCCCAGGCCTTTTTATTGTATTTTCAGATAGAGTCTTGCTAAGTTGCCAGGCTGGCCTCCAACTTTTGATTCTCCTACCTCAGCCTCCCAAGTAACTGGGATTTTAGGTGCACCCCACCATGTCTGGCTTACATCTACATATGTTGTACACATTACCATACTTTGTTTTGCTTTAAAGAGTTACATGCCTTTAAAGTAATTCACAAATTTTATTTTCCCCACACATTTAACATTTCCTGTGCTCTTTATTCCTGTTTATAAATCTGTTTCTATCTAGTATCACTTCCTTAGCCTGAAAAACTTCTTTTAGTATTTCTTTTGTGCAGCTTTTCTGACAATGAATTTAGTCAGTTCCCTTTTTCTGATAGTGTCCTTATTTCATTTTTATGTTCATGGTGCTATTATGACCTCATTAATTGATTTCAGTATTTATCAACTTGTAACCATTCTGTTTTCTATCATATCTTCTCCTCCTCCTGCTTCCTCTTCTTCCTCCCTTCTCCTTCTCCTCCTTCTTCTTCACCTCCTCCCTCCTTCTTCACCTCCTCCCTCCTTCTCCCTCCCTTCTCTTATACCTCCTTCACTTCTTCCCACAGCCTCATGTCATTTTAAAGCAGATCCCAAACATCATATTATCTCATCCATAAATATTTCAGTATGAGTCACTAAACAATAATGACATTTTTAAAACATGCTCTAATACCATCTTCTTACTTTAAAAATTCAACAATTCTTAAATGAGATGGTCTTTTCATGATAGCATCCATCGTAGCTCTTTCCTTCATTGCATCACATGCCACCTAAGCACAGAGGGGTCTACAATGGGCACAAAACCCAAGGCCCACCCATGATCATCTCAAAGGCTGTATGTGTTTCAGAACCCTAAGGCATTTCATGGACCACAAAAAAAATCACAGTTGACCTTGCAACAACTAAAACAAATACATAAATAATGAACCTTAACATCTGATCACCCTCTATTAGTGATAAACATCTTCTGTAGTCCCAAGCCATCAAACAGGTGGTCATGTTTGAATAACAATTGATAGAGCAGGAAGGTTCGAAGCAATTCTGGCAGCAGTAAGTCCAGCTTTTCCCTGGAGCCTTTTGTCTCCTTCACACTCAGACATCCCTGACCAATCTCACAGCTGATTGGATACTGGCAAAAGTTTTACTAAGTATGACTCCACCAGAACTCATTCAACTCGGCCCTTTGAGGCTACAGAACTTTCTTCCACTGCTAAGTGGCTGCTGCTGTCCAGTGTCACTGGGCCCCAAGGGACATGAATTTAGAAAGAGAAGTCATGACTGAATAAATCTCATCATGCAGTGGGTCTTCTAGTTTTAAGTGAAATGAAAATGGCATCACTAATAAAGAATAAAAAAACCCTAGTCATCTTTCTGAATGGGTTGCTAAGCACACTTTAGAACCAGAGATGGTCCTGACCACTACTTTACCCAAACTGTTAGCTTTAACAGAAGCCTCTCTTTCAACCTTCATAACTTAAAAACAGTAGAGCCTAGGCTGTACCACCACTCACAGCCCAGAGGAAGGGGTTTCTGAGCTGCCATTCCACCGCTCTCAGGCCAGAGGAAGGGGCTTCTGGGCTATTGTTCCTTTGCTCCCAGCCCAGAGGTAGGGATTTATAGGCCGCCGTTCCACCGCTCCCAGCCCAGAGGAGGTGAGCCAGGTGGGTGCCAATAGCACACTCCCCCCCGCCATCAAAATGAGAAGACACATAAACAAGTCTCAAAACCAGACTTCCAGATCACCTACAGCAACCCTAAAAGGAAAGGAGATGGAACACTCTGATACTCAACCACCTGGACTCCCCAAACTGGCAACAAAAGAGGATCTGGAAAAAATGAAATCAGAAATAATTTCTTAGATAACAGCAGAGATTGTGCACATAGTGCAAGACATGATTAATAAATCTAGAGAG